TTATGGTTGAGCTTGTAAATGAGTTATTCAAGAAGCAAAAAAGGACTTTGTAGTTAGCAAGTTACTTTGGCCGCTTAAGATAATTTGTAGTTAAAAATTACAAAGTGGCTAGTTGGTTTGGTTTGCTCAATATAATTGTGGTGAAGCTAATGATATGGTTAAAGGTTGATCTTGCTATTCAAAAATATATTTTGGGAAAATTGGGACAAAGTTTTGCTAGTTATTAAAGATAACTTGTAATGAAATTAGAGGTGAAATTTACAGGTAACTCAGTAATAATGTTACCCACAGTAATAATTTATACTCAAGAATTCCTATGTCTTTGTTATTTTGAAAATTTTCAAATGACTTTCAAGCAAAAATAATTGTCATTTTTACTGATTTGAATAGCGATAGAGTACTTAATACCTAAAGAAATAGCAAAGCATTTGCTCATATAATGTTTACGGTAGTAAAATACTCAATAAAACATAGCTAGAATTGAATTAGCCTTTTACAAAATATCAGGGCATGGATTTTCATCTATTTCTTGATATCATTCCCATTCTCAACTACTTCCTTAGCCTTGTCCTCACATCTTGTACCTTGTTCAGATATGATCCATACATATCTTTCTCCTAGTCAGGGGTGATTAGGGTGCTTAACTCACAATCTGTGGGTCTTGGGTTCAAATCCCTGTCACTGAATATACTCACCCTTTCAGCCATGGGGCATTATAATGTGATGGTCAATCCCACTATTTGTTGGTAAAAGACTAACCTAAGAGTTGGTGGTGGATGGTGTTGAATAGCTGCCTTCTCTTTAGTCTGTCTCTGCTAAATTAGGGAAGGCTAGTGCAGATAGCCCTTGTGTAACTTTGCACAAAATTCAAAACAAGCAAACTAAGTCAGAGTGGACAGTATTTTATTTACTCTGAATCATCCACAAACCTTCCTTGCTTCTGGACTGAGCCAAATCAGACCCTTTTCATGAGATGTCAACATTGTGTACCTTCAATGACTGGTAAAAGTAGGTAACTTAGCCTACTTGAAACAAGAGAACAAGATTCATTCTTTTGGTATCTTATTCAAGAATGGTGATTCATTAATAAAGCCCAAATCCATTGTCTGGGATTTGGGCTTTGATTGTCTTGGCCAGGGTAATTATGGTTTCATCAGAAATTGCTAGAGTCTGGAGGACAAACTTTGTTTAAATGAGACTTGGATGGCAAAGTACAATGGAGCCTGAATATGTTTTCACTGACAATTTCAAAGGGATTCTTGATCCTTTCTTATTTTGGGTGTCAGTGTTTAGAAAACGATAATCTTGGTTATGCTTTAGAATATTTATCAACTAGCAAAGACCTGCAGAACATAAAACATTGGCAGTCAAACTAGTATCTTTATTGCAACAGTATTTCTTTAAGTATAGGATTTATAGAATAATACCAAATAATTTTAATCTCAGACACTGAAATGTACAAGTCCACTTGTTTTAGGCCTAACATTAGTTATGCTTTTATAAAAAATGACCTATATTTGATAAAAAGATGAATTAACACTGTAATTTGTGTAAGTTTTTTGCTTTATTTTAGTTCGCGCTAAATTTTACTATACTTAATATTATCAGTAAATAAACTTATAATTATATATATATATATACGACCTAACGTGAGACCTTTTTAAAAACTTTAATTAATAAGCTTTTATTTGTTGTCATACAAAATGTGAATTAAAGTATATTTACATCCACCTTTTGTTTACGTTCATGGAAGTGAAGTGTGTGTGCATGCACATTTAGATGTTAAGGTCATGTGCATTTTCAGAACAGACAAAAACTAAGTATTATTATAACAGATAACTTCTGATGAAAGTAAACCTGCTAAATAATTTCAATAATTTAATATAATGGTCTAGGAGAATGCACTAATTAATTAATTTGGCAATTAGCGACAAATCAGTGCATGTGCACCTGAGATAAAAGTGCTTTGCTTTGTTTTTAAACATCTGTATTCTTTGAAAACGTATTTTTTCAAATGAGTACAATACTAAAACAGACAAAAGCCAAAGTTTAGATAAAAATAATAAATCTCTGTGAATTGGGGTCTCTTGAGCAAATTTTTATTCTCTTTATGTTTAGCATGCCACTGTTGTCAGCCATGTATTTACCTGTTTTTCACTGTTTTTAGTGATTATTTTATAGACAGTTTGCAACTGGCTCAATCTGACTGTCATATTGAAGGCTAAGCATACATGCATCTGTCCATTCTGCTTCACATCATGATCAATTTCAGTTTTGCTTGATCTTCACATTGATGAGATTTATAGACCTAATATGCAGAATGACAGGTATTGTGATTTGTTTCCAATGAAGTAAAACAAACTGGACTCAATTTGAAGACTGACAAAAACATTTTAATTGCTAAACATATATAGGAGTCAGTTAACTAACAGGCTATGCCTGCAAAGAACTATTATGTTGTGATAAAGTTAAAGTGAAGTAAATAAATTGTATTAGAAGTTATATGAAGATAACACAGGTTATAAGTTAAACACTGAAACAAGGATGAGACCTCACTAGTGGGTGCTAGTTCTTGTAGGTCACAAACAAATTTGAATTTGGCTGAAAAGTGCCAAACATCTCTCTCATTCCACATTCTCTCTGTAGTTGAACAACCAAAAAAAAGTGGATCACACGTATCCAGAAATATCTGTGCTTCATGTGATACTCGTAGAGCAGTTCTATATACAGAAGGTAAGGTAGATCGCATACAACCATTTCATCACACAGTAGATAGATTTCCATGCCTTGGTCCTGCTACTGTAAATAATGCCTAGGGTTTAAATGACAAGTGACCTTGCAATACTAGAATACTATATTCCTAATTAGAATTTCAGAAAATTTTAAAAATTGTGTAAATATGAAATAAAAACTATAGGAGAGTAAGATATACAATATTTGAAAACTACACATTCAGTAGAGAAGTTGACAGGTATTATCATGTAGAATTTAATGTATTTACTGGAGGGCAACTAACTAGTATAGACTTGTTTAACTTCAGTGGTTTGCCTGTGGTATATATTATTATTTTTAGCAACTATCAAGCATGATTTTGCTGTTGATTAGTCATGCACTGGCTGTTTCATCTTAATGTTCATTAACAACACTTGGATTATAACATATGTAGGCCTTTTGTTAGTATTTGACCTGTGAACATTTAAACCATTCTTGTCCTCATGCCAAACAAATATAGCTTCATTAAAGCATTTATTGCAATTGTTTTTGAGGCTACTCATTCTGGTAATTTTGAGGGTATACATTATCTTGTAAATCAACAACTAAAAAGTATCAGATATTTTTTATGTTTTCTTTATTGTTTGGCAGTGTTTACCAACACTAATTCTTGCTAAAAAATATTTACAAAAGTTGTTTGAGTTTCCCTGGCTAGGTAACAGCACATTGCGCAAAATTTTTGTTGGTGGTGAATGCGTAGTGTTCACACAATTCACTGAGGGCCTACTATCTGGTTTGTTTTGTATATGTATGTTTAAAAGAGAGAAATTCAAGCTGTCTTAATTAGATAGCATCTGTTGCACTTTTTATATATAATATTGCATTAAAAAATGAAAAGCTGTAATATTTTCAGCTAGTATTACTGGTAAAATTTCAGATTTACTTCACTTGGTGGAATTCACAAGGATTGTAACAAGTTTGTTGCAAGGCTTGTCTGGTTATTCAAAATAATGTTTGTTAGAATATACAAACTTGTATTAAGGGTAGAATGGGTAATACAAGTAGCTATTGAAGTAGTTACAATTGTTAGAATATACAAACTTGTATTAAGGGTAGAATGGGTAATACAAGTAGCTATTGAAGTAGTTACAAGGTAAGTCTGGCTA